TTTTTTTTCAGTCCGTTTGATAAGGATGACCAGACATCATCCTCTAGCACGGTTTCCAAACGGCTTCTGTCCAATCAGAGCCCTCCTGACACGCCCTCTATGCGGGAACAGGTGTTTTATGTGAGTCACATTTTAAAGAGATATCGGCAACAACTCCATCACACATGCTCTGTTACACCACTAGTTTTATAATTTTGTATTAAAGGTTTGTAAACTCTCGTTTTGACCACACACATACACTGCATATTTGCCATTTATCTTACTGATGGCTATTATTACTGTCATTTCACTGGCTTGTTCTATTTCAGCTGCTCCCCAACTGCTTTGTGTGTAGCGGTAGCAGTGATGTGTGTGAGGATATTCACAGAGGGCTGTGTGTTAGGACATGTGGCTGTGGGAGTGCCCTGCCTACTGCGAGCAGAGTGAATGATAGCAGTAGTGGGACGTGTGAGAGCAGCAGCAGCATGTATGAACGGAGCTGTGGTCCTTGTAGCTGTTTAATAGTGGTTGAGTAGAGCTCCAATATGTCCCTCCTCTTCCTCACCTCGCTGAAGAACATGCCTCGTGGCTGGCCCAGACAGAGCCGCTCGCTGTTGGAGGCGTTCCACGACGTCGTGACGGACAGGACGGCATCCTCACGTTGTGAATTCAGCCGCACAACACCCCGATTCACCTCTGTACAGTCGGTGTGTTGGGACGTAGTTGTAGTTTAGTTCATAGAGACCAAATCAACAAAAAAATCCTGAAATTATAATTTATTAACCAATAGAAACACCTGGCAGTGAGTCTGCAATTGTTTTGTAAATTGATTGAAATGATTGAAGTTAATTTCCAGTCAAATCCAGGATCCTGATTAAAAAAGCCTGATCATGTTTCATTTGAATCTAAACTGAAAGACAATTTTAACTGTTTATTTGACACTTTTTTTCCTGGCAGATAGTACTGTATATGTGGTACTTTGTAAATTATGTAACACTTACTAATTGATTGTTGCCATTGCCAATGAATCGAGTAATTTTTCAATTGTTAATGAATTAGTCATACTGTATATGAAAATCATAAAAGTGCATTTAGTGTGTAAATTATTACAAATAGTGACTAATCTCAAGCTGCCACAGCCCAGAATGATATATTAACATTATGTATTGTCATCTGTGCAGAAGCTAAAAATGAATATATTTGTGTATGTATATTATGATTCAGCAAATAGCAAAATCTGTATGTGTGACGCACTAAGCAGTAAATGGTAATGTGTTTAGTTGATAATTATATAAAACATTCTAAATATTACAGTAATTAGTGAAATTAGAATTAAGCTGCTGTCTATATACCTACTAGATTGATTTATCCAATGGTTCTCAAACTGTTTTTTGGGAGCAGAAATATAATTTACCTACCATTTACAGTGTTCAGAAAATTAGCAACAAAATGAGCTTACATGAACATTATAACATCAAAATAACATCATCATGGTGCAACTGAAGGTGTTTTTAGACATAGAAGACACCGTAAACTTCAGAGCATGATAGATGGTCTTGACTGATGTGTTAGCTTGATGAGCCTCATCTGTTTTTCTTTTTTACTTGCTGTTTAATTAAATTAAATCTAACTGACAATTTAAAGCCTTGCTAGCATGAAAGGACAGACGGGTCGCACGTGAAACCGATTCATTTAACTTTTGTTGCGTTCCATATTATTAGCCTTGGTTTTATTCGATGCCCGTATGACCCACAGTTCGAGGACCACTGGATTAATGAGTGTTTTTTCTGGATGTAATTTGACAACCAACACGTACACCTGTAATCACGCTGCTGTGTGTAAACGCAACAGTGATAATTTAGTCTAGTTCTCTCTGTGTCTTGTTTCCAGTCTCTGCTGAAGCGCCAGGGAGAAATGGAGAACGGGACCGTCTGGTCCAACTCCTCTGAGTCCTCTGACGACTCCTCCAGTCCGGCCTTGGCTCACCACGCTCAGAGACTGACCGCCTCCAACATGCTGCAAACCACTCTCACCACTCCGCTGTCGTTCACGCCGCACAAGTCCAGCGCGTCGACACCATCGCTCTCCTCCAACCAAGAGGAGGATGAGACAGAAGCCGGGGAGGTTTTCTCTCAGACAGATGCGGTGCCAAACGGCCACCTGCAGACTTCCTGCTCTCACAGCCACACCGGCGAGAGTAGTCCTGACTGTACTGTGACTGACAGAGCGTCTGTCCAATCAGCTGACCTCTCTGAAACCTCAGCAGACCTGAGCTGCTCATTCCCCGATGCGTCCTCTGTAGCTCCTGTGTCGCTGATGGACAGGTCGGATTTGTCTGAAAGCGGCGTCCCACAGGTGTGCGTACCTGCGGAGGAGGTAAAAGATGACTCATCTGAGACTTCGTCAGTACCGGCTGGGCAGACTGAAGCAGAGACGCAGGACAGCACCACTGAAGCAAGAGAGGGACTCCAGGTACAAGCATCAGAGAAACACAGTCAGCCCCTTCAGTCCGTCCAGGAGCCAAAGCAACCAGAGGATGCCCCGACAGTGAGCTTCTGCATTCTCTCCTGTGTTTTTGTAAAGTCTAGTGGGTTGATAGTGACATTTAAACAGCTGCGTTTGTTTTCTCCGTAGGTTCCTTTTCCTACTTCTACTAGTTTCAGTCTGGAAGTCGAGACGGCGCTTGAAAGTTTCGACTTTCTCAACTGCTCTGACCTCGACGAAGATGAGGAGGAAAAGGAAGACGAGGGAGAAAAGAAGCAGGAAGACGGGCAGCATGAGGAGAACCAAAGCAAACTGGAGGAAGAGAAAGTGGAGGAAGACAAAAAGGATGAAGAGAAGTTTTACTCTGGAGGGAGGTCAGTGGTCATCGGGTCATTGTGTTTTTGTCATTCCCATTTTGTACGTACGGTGTGAACGATATGATGTGGATGCATCAATAGATCATATTAAGGATGGTTTCTTTAACCCCTTAAGCCTCACTGACCAACTTGTAAAGGGATTGAACTTTTTGTGTCTGCAGCGATGAAGAGGAGGCAGATGGTTTAGACATCCTTATGGAAGCCCCAGAAGGATTTAGGAACTCAGATGAAGATTGTTTCTCTGAATCACAGGTAATAAAAGTATCCATTGAATTCTTTTCAAAGCAGTCATGTGAGCATTTGTTTTCATGTTAAAGATGGTCGCAAAAAAACCTGCACACTGTCTTACTTACAAAATCTTTTTATAAGCTGGCAATGTTTCGGTACTAGACCTTCATCAGGCAAAAAACAAATAAGTTAAAAGAAAAAGGTTTTGTTTTTTCACAGGAGTCGAGCATGGAGGACGTGCAGGATTTGGCTCAGATGGAAATGCCTGAAGACGATAAGGCGAAGCGCAGCGAGGAAAAGGGAGATGAACAACACGGTAAGAGGCGTTTGTCAGTAAACAGAGGCTGCATTTGTTCATGTGAAAGCAAGCGTGACAAGTTTATTAATTAGCCGTTTTTGTTTTAGGAGAGGACACATCACGCGGTCAGGAGGAGCGTCCCTCTACTCCCGGCCATTTGGCCACTACGGTCTTCTGACGACACAGTGGAACCATAGCTAAACCATTTCTCCCACTCTGATCAACATCTCCCTCTTAACGCTGCGGACTGGAGGCCTTGAGGATGTTCCACTTACTGCTCAGACAAACAAGCTCCTCCATTATTGCGGAGTTTGTGCACATATTTGCCTTGTTCTGACCAAGAACGATAAACCTCGATGTTTCGGCACCTCAGCCTCCCCCACCCTGCCCCGCAGTCCCCATTCTTTCAACACACACTCCATCACGTTGCCTGGGTTTAAGTGGGATACCACTTAGTTTACACATTCATAAAGTGTTCCTGTCATGTGAAAATTCAATGTCCACAATGTAAACATTTCAGGAACGGCTAAAAGCGGCCTTGTTTTTGGCTTTATTACAGTGCATTTATCAAGTGATCTAATCATATTGAAAGGGTTTTATAAGTTCAAGTTGGTGGATTTCTTCAATCTACAGAGAAACATACAATTGCAGCATTACATTGCAAGGTTTTAAAAACCAACAGTAAGGATATTAAAAACTTGTGATTGTCAGTGTTAAATCAGTGTACGGCCCAGAGCTCTTTCTGTTAGTGGGAAAAGACCTCATGAGCATGTGATCTTTGTCTGAAGATGCTTATCACCGTGCTGTGGACATGAAGTCATTTCCAAACCAGTAATGTACTCTGAAAACCAACAGGATCTTTTCATTTTAAGCCTCAGAGACAGTTAATGAGAATAATCAGAAATACACATGGAGTGCAGAAGTTACATTGAAGCTTCAAAGCAACACCAGGAGCGTGAGTAATATTAAGAACGAATATAAACACTTGAAGGACAGGAGTCAAAGTCACTTTCGTCCAGTTTTTATAAACGTGAAAACAACCTGCAGTGTGAAACAATATTTAAACCTGCATGTGTAGCTGCCTCACACTGCCAGCATGTGTCTGTATAAAAAGCTCAATTGATCAGTTTTAAGTGTGTAAGCTAGGCTTCCTGTGCAAGGAAGCCATCGGGTCTGTAGCTGTGTGGAAAAGCTCCCTCACGGGGGTGATATAGTCCTTCAGCATCTTGCTTTACGTTCTACAAAAGCCTCGACATTCAGAAAGTGCCTCAAGTGACAAGAGATGTAAGGTTTAAATGCCACGACAGGAGAGATCAGGCAAAAGATAAGTGTTTATTTTCTGAATTATTAAGAGTGTGCACAATAAGATATTTACTGTTTCATATAAAGAATTGTATATGTCTTGAAATGTTCAAATGTTTATGTTCAGAAATGTTTAAACTTTATAAAGGTTTCTTTAAAATGAACATGTCTGTTGTGTTGGATGAACACGTATAAGCCGTAATCAGGACTGTGACAGACTCTGGTTTAGTAAATATTACGAGCGAGAAGTTTTCTTATGAGCCTCAGTGAGTTTCTGGTGCTCTTCAGCTTTCAGACTGAAGAACTGAATGTCAAAGGACACTGAGGCACTGTTTTGAATACAAAATACAGCCATTTTATTCAGGAAAATTAACATTTCCTCATCTTAAGGAAATGTACAGTAGTAAGTTCAGGTCAAAGAGGAGAAAGACCAAGTATTTGCAGTGTTAATCCCCAAACAGGTAAATTCATTAAAAACACACAAACAGTTGGAAAAAGCAACCACTAAAAATTCCTAAAATTAGATTAAATGTAGAAGAACACTGACACATTTAACCAAAGTGTTAAAATCACCCAAATCTGTGCATCAAAACTTGTGAACTTGTATCACTCTCCCATTCAAGTTGCCTTTGAAATGCTAAAAACCCCCAACAGTGACATGAATGCTTCAAATGATGATCCAATCAAAACCCATTAACCTGATGTGTTTCACACACGCTGAACTCGACAACAATCTGCTTTCAGTGCAATAAAACATCACAGATAAAACAAGCGGTGTGATACAAACAAGCTAAAAAACAGTCCAGCTTTCAATTGTCTTCTTTTGCTTCCATTTCTCTGAAAATAAACCACAGAAGACATTTGAATATTATCACACAGACAAAGTGCAAACGTTTCAAATTCGTGTCACTTTCAACTGAATTATTTGTGTACTGAGTACAGCTTGTTTACAACCCTAATATCTGAAGTTAATGTAAATGTGGAATTTAAGGCCAAAATGTCTCTTAATTTAAAAAATAAGTGTTATTTCACATAAAAAATGCTAAGAAATATGAAGGTGAAACAAAATACAATATGTAGCCCAAAATAATAATACAAAAATACACAGCCCAAAAGCTTTAGGCATCAACACTGTGGAGCTGAATCTCTTACTCATGGTGAAAGAACAAGGTAAATAAAAAAATAGAAATATTCTGCAGAGTAGGTTTTCTGGAAACTGAAACCCTGTGTGTGTCTGAACCCTGTGATATAAAACCAGAAGATGCAGTTGGAGTGTCCTCACTTAAAAACTGAGCGGTTTCTCCGGAGACCCCCCCAGCTGCAGTAAAGTGGCGCTCAGTCCGGCCTTCAGCGCTGAGTAGTCCGGCTGCTCAGCGTACTGCAGAGCCGCCACTGCAGTCAGGTAGGTTTGAAATGCATCTACGCAGTGACCCACACAGACAGGAATAAATCAGCCACAAAGACATAATCACACACTTGTTTTACGTTATATAACAAACTTTTGAACTCACTGGAAACTCTCTTCTTTCCAAAGCAGTGACTCAACAGCGCAGGAACGTCCTCCATGTACCTACAATGAGAACTTCTTTGAGTAATTAGCATTTTATTTGTGTTGTACTACTACCTTGTATACCATGGAGGTTTGTGTTGCAGCAGGCATGTGATACAATTCAGTATTTCTATGGTGTTTCGAATGTGTGTGGTCTTCCCATTAATGATAAACTCTCTCTCACCTCTGTTTGTGTGTGGCGACCTGGTCCGGGTTAGTGAGGGCGGTCCACGGCAGCGTCCCCGTGTGCCAACGCAGCATGCAGTAACCCAGAGACTGCAGGTCACTGCGTCGAGATGGAGCTGAGTGGACACACACACATACGACAACATATGTTTTCCCATATTTACCCTAACAAAACACCACCACAAAACAAACCTCAGATGTACATATAACCCAGTTTTGTATGGTTTTCATGATGAAACAAGTCAAATGTTGAAAGAACCTTTTATACAATCAGCTTCTCAGGAAAAAAAAAATCTACTCAGTGGAGCCTCTGCGTGTGCCTGACGGCTGTGCAAAACAGATGGACTGTGGGAGGAAGTAAATCTGGCAGCAGCTTATAGAGTGAAATGGCATGTGATTTGCTGCCGTTAGTGGAACAAGGAATCAGCGGAAGTGACTCGCCTGCTCCCTTATGTGTGTCCAGACTGATGAACTCTATGGTGCCCTCATGTGGCGTTCTGCTGGCTTCACGGTACTCCACATGTTGTCCACCTGGGCAGTACCTGAAGGCATGGCAGTATCCTACCAAGTATATCTAGCACACACGCAAAGAGTGGTCAGTGTAAAACACACTTAAATCATCTATCACTGAGAGACTGCAGTTTGTTACTTTCTCACCTGTGATTTCTGTCCTGGTTTGATGTAAATGTTTTCTGCATTAATATCGGCGTGAACATACTCGTTTGAATGGATATACTGCAGCGCGTCTATCTGCAAGGAGAAAGAAATCAGTTTCCTGTGCATTTTATGGTGACTTAGGTAAAATACTACTTCTACTATGACTTGAAGATTAAATGTTGTCTGGAAAAACAACAAGTTTACACTCACTATTCTACAAGCGAGCTGAAGAACAGCTTTCTCAGACAGAAGCTCGTCTTCTTCCTCCATGACAGACCGGAGAGACTGACCCATGCTGGGGAAAATCAGAAACCTATAAGACAAAAGGACGACATACAGCAAAGCCCCAAGTTAATGTTGTTTCATATAATGTGTAAATATTCAAACCTAAAAAAATTTATTTTCTCCACACCTGTAAGAATCCGCATGAGGACCAAAGCCAACACAGGAAGGGATCCCCAGAAAATCCATCTTGTTTTGTTTGATCCACTTGTCCACTAGAGAGAGACAAAATGTTTCGACAGGAGGATGAACACACGTGGATAGTCAGAATTGCATCTAAAGAGTTCAAGGTGACACGATGATGCTCCTGTTGAGTAAGTTTTTCTCCATTTCTGTTTTTACTGGATTGTGAAATGAAAGAGATTCTTCTCACTGCCCAGCTCTATTTCATACTGTAGTTTTTTCTATTTTCTATTTGTCAGCTGTTAAAGTTTAGACTTTTGATTGACTTGTTACAGCCAATATAAACACTGAACAACTGCTAGATAAAGACTGCAGCTACCTTTGTTTTAACAAAGTTAACCATCAGAAATAGTTAGTCAGGGTTTACCTGCAGCTCCATGAGTGACCCTTTAATCTTTCCAATTTGTGAGGTGCTAACCATAAAAAGAAAACATACTAAACCCTCACCAGACGCAGGTTTGGCAGCTCTCTGCAGAAAGTTCTGCTCATTGAAGATTCTTCCATCTTTAGCTCCCTAACAGGAACAAATACAAGATAAACTTTATTGATCCCACTCAGAGTGGAGTGGAGAAGTATTGGTTACAGGAAACATTCAATTTGTTGATGAATACAAAAGGGATAGTCGTAATAATAACAACAATTAATTTTTGGATGGAGTACACAGAAAACCATGAAATTTACTGTGAGTGACTTACCAGTTTGAGGATGTGATTTGATTCCTTGGAACTGGATTGTGAAACTGTGGAAAAATGAAAGGGACAAACTGATATTATTCAATTGTGTACTGGCTCTAATCTACCATTCATTTAAATTTTTGTTAGGGCCAACAGTATAAAGTTTAAAAGATTTGCTTTAACTGGTCCTAAGACATTTAAACTCAGGTTAGACAACATCATTTTTCTATTTTGGAAAAAGAAGCGATGTTGTCAACGACAGAGTCAACATTAGTTCACTTATTATTATCTATCTATACTATGGCAGTGGAAAACAGCAACATGCACAGAACAAGTGTTTTGTGCACAGTACAAAATATTTTAATAAAAATACCAGAACAAAAACAGTCAGTCTGCCTCCAATTTGTTTTACAATGCGTGCATTTTCAAGGCATTATGGTAACATCGTTTTCACAGTAGATTTCAAAATAAAAGTAAGCATCTGGAGAAAATAATGTAGTATTCAATCGGTGTGGCAGAAACGAAATAATTAATTAAATAAATGATTAAGACTACACAAGTCTCTAAAAAATGTTATTTCCAGTGAATTCAGACTGATGTTTCAAGAAACCCTCCTGTTTCCATTGACTCATTTCACTTCAGAGTGATGGCAGACCACTTCAGAGTGATGGCAGACCACTTCAGAGTGTCTCTCAGTCAATATCAGATGGTGTAGGTTTTCAAAATTACAGCCCTTAATGTCTTATATTTTCATATTGAAAACCTACATCAGAAAGCTCTGATATTGACAGAGGGACACTATGAGGTGGCCGGCTATTACTGTGAAGTGAAATGAGTCAGTGGAAACAGGATCTGAATTAATCGCAAAACAAAGCGGAGGCAGGCTTTACCGTGGTTTTTCATTGGGTCGAGTGTCTGCGTCATCATTTTTAAAGTCCTCCGTTTTCGTCTGTCTGCACTAATACACTACCCCGGGGGTTGTAAAATGAAAACAGGGTGAGCAGCGGTTTCAAACTTCTCTGTTTTAGGTCTTCGGATACGCCGTTTTAGTCTGGACCAGAGGGGCAAACGTAGCAAAAGGTCTCCGTTTTCAAACAAAAACATAGCAGTGCTGATGTAGCCAGAGTGCCATGTGCACAGTCTCACCTTCGTAGATGAGCTCTGTCACACTCTGACTGAGCAGTTTCACCAGCTTCCACTTCTTGCCCGTTGTGTCCGTCACCTCCTCACCTTCCTGCAGCGGCTCCACAGCGCACCAAAGCTTTGTCTTCTTGCCTTTGCTCTTACCTGAAAGAAAACATAAGGAGAGAGGAGGGTGACTTGAATCAAATCAGGAACATCACAGTTACAGAGTGTGTATCTTAGGTGAACCAACCACCAGGACACCTTCACATGTCTTTACACTAAATCCCCTTGAATAATAAATAAAGTTTTTGCTCACCTTTAAAAGGAGACTTGGAGATTGGTGAGGAAACAGGGGAGGAGACAGTCACAAGAGAGCTGTCTGCCGTTGATTCCTCTGCTTTCCTACTTGTTTTATCAGTCTGCCTCTTTTCCTCTTCGACCTGCTTTGCAGCAGGGCTGGAGAGTTTTGCCTTTCCCCTGACTGCATGTGGATCCAGCCACAATCAAAAGGGAAGAGAGGAAAGATTACGCCAGAAAATGAGAGAGAGACACACTGCATGTTTCATAAGGAATGTATAAAACAGATGTTTAGTGTTTCAGCTCACCAGGTCGAGGGGATTTTACAAGAGGAGAAGAGGAAGACCCTAAAGCTGACTCTACCTCTGCGTCGAGTTTAAAAGTGATTGTGTGCTGCTTTGGTGGCGTTCCAACCAATCCAACACCATTATCTGTTGATACAAATCATTTGTTTCAAAGACAGGCATCAGCTGTCAAATTATTTTTTACGCTGATAGTCACTGATGTCTCTGTACTCACTTCCCTCACATGTCATCAGAAAATGTAACAAATAAATTAGAGTAGCTGCTTCAGGACCATTTTAATTACCCTCAATCCGGTCATCTCCGGCAGGGTAAGTGGAGGGCACCACGGGTGGAGTAGCATCTTTAATGTTGAATTTAACTTCCCTGTCCAGACGAAGGGAGTTACGGGTCTTTCGCAGTGCAGGACGAGTTGTGATTGGAGTTGTGTTAATACATGTATGAGCTGTAGAAACAAAATAATTTCAATTTCCAAAAGTTTATAACCACACAAATTCTCAAATCTATGGATAACACTCCTAACAAAAGATATTTACCCTCACTTTCCGTGGGCTTACAAATTGTGCTTGAAGCAACGCTTATTTTAACTGATGACGCTGCTGCTTCATCCCTTCTGGGTGGAGAGAGACTTGAAGACGCAGCCGAGCTCCCAGGTCCAGATTCATCAACAAGACAGGGAAGCTTCTCCCCACACGATGGACAAAATCTGAAACCAGGCTGCAACTTTGTCCCGCACTGGGGGCAGAAATGGAAAGGCATTCTGCAAAAGTAAAGACACACATTATAATATCATCTCTCTGGGGGTTATCGTGTGTTTCCACAATCTTTACCAGACAAATACACACACATAGTTGTTGTTGCAGAGTGCATGATGCTTTGCTATACAATAGTTGCATAAATCAATTCAAAAAGTATCATCCACAGTACATATTTAACCCAGACTGGTCAACAGGGATGCTCACACTCACTGTGTGAATGTAATTGTCACAGCCAAGGAAATTATCACTTATCAGTATTAAATACTTAGTGAACTTGAGATGCATTAGCCAAAGTCTTCGCCTTTGTATCGACAGCGACATATTCAAGGTCAAATTTTCTTCTTCCCATAATGTCCAGCTTAACTAACATGGCTATCGTTACATTAAACGAGATGAGACGTTTTATTAAGTAACGTTAGCTCCGTTAAAAACTGTGTAAAAAGAAAACAATCTGGCTAAAACCAAATGTCATTCTGCTCTCGTGTCAGATAAGTTAAGCAATATTCTAAACGAAATTGATTGTTGTGAATATTTTCTGCTTTGTAGCAGAAGGGAACTACAAACGGAATTTCATTTTACAACCCTCATGTTATATGATGATTAATTAAATCTACCTTGTACCTTGAATCAGCTGGTTCAGGTAACGTTAGCCAGCTAAAACAGTCTGAACTCGACATTTAAATAGAAAAACATTTGAGCTAAAGCTCGTGTGTGTTTTTTTTACATTAAGTTATTTCAACATGTTAGTTTCTGTTGAGAAAAAATGCAGTGCCCAAATAGCCTCACGTTAGCTAGCTAACTAACGTGAATATTGAAGCGAAACACTTTAAAAACTGGTGAGTTTCAGACTGAAGTGTCGTCTTGTTGCTGGTTTTGAGACTTAGCTTTCAGTCAAACTGGCGCCTGGGTAAAACATATCATCACAGGGAATTAGAAAGTTGTCAAAACAAATGTGTCTGAAATACCTCTACAAACACTCCCGCACCGCTCAGCCTGTGTGGTCTTCTTCACCGGTTTACGCTCCTGTAGTTGGAGCTGTGCGGGGAGGTGCTGCCCCCTGCAGGAGTTTAGCTGCAGCCAAGATGTTTTCTCACATTCAGGTAAAACTTCAATCAGCTAGAATACTGGACTTTTTCCACAACTGAGGATGATGAGGATGTAGTCTGACTTCCGAATGGATTAAAAGGATATGTAAACAGTGGCAACATTAAAGCAAGAATTTAATTGGAATTACTATCATGAAAAACCTCCGTGCACTTTAATCTGCGGGACATTTAAGGACGTTAACAGACAAGAGTCTCTAAAGTACAGCAGATCTTAGAATCGGCAGCAATAGTCTCCTGCTAAACGGTAGACAAATCTACGATGACTGAAATAAATATGTATCACTGCTTTAATTTTTTATTAACTTTATTACCATTACCATTATGGTGATGGCGCATAGATAAGATGCTTGCCTTTGGTGTGAGAGACATGGGTTCGATTCCCACTGGGAGACATGCACCATTGTGTCCCTGAGAAAGACACTTAACCCTCGTTGCTCCAGAGGCGTGCGACCTCTGACATGTACAGCAATTGCATCGCTTTCGCTTTGCATAAAAGCGTCAGCTAAATGTGTTTTGCACATAAATTAGTAAAAGCATTTCAAATTTAGGCTGTTATATCACAAAATGCTGAAGCACAGTTGAACCTATACCCACACTCAGTCCACATTTTGAAGATTGATTATATAAAATGAGATGCTGCTTCAAGGAATACATAAATAAAATGTTTATTTTTGGACATCATTTACATATTTTGCATTTGAAACTGTATGGCACAAGTTGAAATATGAACTATTCAGTTTAGTCTTACTAATATAATCAAACACAATTTTAGTGATGGATTTTCTGTGAACTGTGAATCAGTGAGTAGGAAAAAAAATACTCAGGTGTCTTAACTAAAACATCACATTGACTTTTTTATACAGGTATAATTGACATTTTAATACAAATAATGGGGATTTGTGTGTGAAACTATTAAATACAGTTGGAACAAACAATCTTACAAAACCATTTCAGTGTTTTACTAAGTGTAAATACTCTTCTTCATTTTTGGAAAATATAAAATATAGTATTATAAACTGATCTGAAAGGGTGAGCATTCAAACTTAATGACTATATCTTTGCCAACTAAAAATCTGGGTTTACGAGTTTTCAACAGCCTACTGTGCACTGCCTAATTAACACAGTCACTTTAATACGTGAAACAAAACACTTTCCATCCTGTAATGTTAGGTCAGCAGTGGAGCGGCACTCTAGCACTAACAGCTCTTTTCACCACATGTACTGCTTGGATTTTCAGGTTTCACCCTGATACATCTGGTCTTATATTAAATCAGTAGACAACGGCCTAAACAATAGCCACTATTAAAATGGAGGATTTGCTGTTTGAGATAGCAACTCGGCTAATTTACCCTGAAGTTTATTGTTTTATTTCATAAAAATGTATACATTTTCTATTACTGCTGCAAAAATGATCATTGTTTCAGGCGAGGCGGCCCATTACCTATAAAACACAGTGGGACCCCCTGGAATGACAAATATTCTCATATATTTTTATCATCCTAGGGCCTGGGCATAAGGTGTGAAGGCACTTTTACAAGTGAATAATGATTTAAAAAATGAGCAATGCAGGGGACTAAATTCATGATGGTTACTCAATGTTGACACAGATTGACTCTATGGGGGCTCTTTATGAGAATCATAAATTTGTATGCATTTCATTGAGAGGCAGCAGAAACCATGTAGGCAGTTGTTTTAAACATCTCTAAATAGTTGCTGAGAATAATGTTTTTAAACCTGAAGCACTGAATTAAAATGTAATTGACTGAACTTTCATTAGATGTCTCCAAATAGATTTTAGAAGTCAAATAACACCCTTTTTCAAACAGTCCAAAAATGCACCAGAGATACTTTTTTTGCATTTACATTTCTCACTCACTCACTCACTCTTCAACCGGTTATCCTGTGTACAGGGTTGCGGGGGGCTGGAACCAATCCCAGCTGACATCGGGTGAGAGGCGGGGTACACCCTGGACAAGTCGCCAATCCATCACAGGGATTTTTATTTCTTTCTTTAAAATATATCAAGCTTATTTTTTGCTTTGAGACTCTAATACAGCAGTATGAATTACCTGAGTTCCTGCTCAGTTTTTACTTTTGCCTTTTATGACACATTTATTCCTCTTATCAAACTACTGAGCATCAGTATTTGTAATTGGCCAAACGTGTCGCTGTACATTATGAAATTATGTACTTATTCAAACTGTCTTCCTTAATTCACATTTTGGAGGCAAACAAGCACATCAATTTAGAAAAGAAAAAACATGAGTGTTAAGTGTCCATTAAACCGGTGAGATTGTAGCTAGACATTCAGTAGAGCATCAGTAGCACATAACTGGCGACCTTAAATTTCTACATCCATAGCAAATTTCTCTCTGCCATCAAAGCGTGACTGCAGGTATCACAGTGAATGTTTATCTGACTGTAGAACGAAAAACAGAAGTGGCTTCTTTCTTGAGTTAACTGCAGTGTAATTCTTCACTAACCTTAAAGCAAGTAAAGCGTATTAACAGTATATTTATAGCACACCTGGCAGGGCTCACTTCACTGCGACTTGGAGCACAAAGTTTCTATCTGAAAATATAATCAGCTTATCCAGCTGATGACTAAAATCGGACATTTCAGCTAGGCATCATAACAAATAAATATCCCACACTTCAATATTAATTAATTATTCAAAAGACCCATTATATGACTTGAAATGAAATGCCCATGTTCAAAAAGGCACTTAACTCTGAACTGAAGTACATCAGTAATGCACTGGTTGGTGGGGCTATGGGCACATAACTATACACACATACACACACATATGTATGTATGTGTGTATGTGTATGTATGTATGTATGTATGTATGTATGTATGTATGTATGTATGTATGTATGTATGTATGTTAAACTTGGTTATCTTCCTATTTTTTCACCACTATTATCAACACAGACATATCACCAAAATGGCTCATCATTAGTCTAACATGCACATTTGCTCCTATCAGAGGCCTGTGAGAGGTCTGGGTTCGTGGGTCCATTAGCTCGGACGGTCCCATCAGGGATCCAGGACTTGTCAACACATCGCTCCATCCTCTTCATGATGAGATCCAGCAAGACGTCCACGGCCAGGCTGACGTTCTGCCCGTTTGAAGCACTTGTCTCAAAGTATGGGATTCTGCATTGAAGAAAATACTTATTTGTTTGTTATCAAACACGGGTGCACAGACTGCTGCTACCAGTTACAATACAACACAATTGTTTAGGTGAAGAGAAAAAAATAGTTATACTATTTATTTAAATTTTAATTATATTTTATCTATATAATTTAATTTGTCTAATTTCTAATCTAAATTTAGTCTTTCTCTCAATACTTTCCACATTCCCCAGCCTTCTGTGTTGCTCAGTCCCAAACCCATTCACTCCTACTGACGATATAAATCAGCTCAGTCATTTCCTTGATGATGTATTGACAGAAATGCAATATAATATCCGTAACTATGTTTTCAGTGGATAAAGACCTTACATAATGAACCATTATGATTTTATTACCTTACACACTGAACCTTTAACAGCTGGACACTGTTGTTTTTGAAAACTTTACGGAATAACAGGTGAATGGCTAAACAGTTTAAGATACCAATCATGAGAAACAACACATACAGTCCAGCAGAGTCAGGTTTGGGTTATAATTAATGCTGAGGTTTGTTCTTCCCTTGAAGGTCGTAAAACATTTGTTACAGTGCAATATCTGTGTTTTTAGTAAAAGGTGTGTCTAATAGTGACAGAGCAGGATATTTTTACAAATGTGCACAAATATTTGCTTTTCGAGGAGGACCAATTTAATGTGACATTCTCCTGCACAGACTTTGGCAAACAACGCAGCCACTGCCTTCTTGACAAACACTTGAGGGAGAGGTTCATGTACAGATGGATCAAACCTGAGACATACCCGTACTTCTCTGCCAGTTCACGGGCCTCTTCTTCACTGACTGCTCTCTGATCTGACAGGTCAGATTTGTTGCCACACAGAACGACATCTGGACTTTCGCAGTATGCGTGAATCTGTAACTGACCTGAAAGACACATTCAGCGATTTATTATGTATTAGCCCTGTTTTAATGTGTACTATCTTAACTTCTGAGAAAGATAGAGGCATTATTTTATATATTGTGTATTATATTCACCTGAAATAAGACACCTGAGCACAGTAGTAGCAGTAGTTCAGGTCAAAAAGAATTATTAATAACTGGAAGATTACACATTTATTACACAATATTTTGGGTCTAACTACATCCTTGTTTCAATTCTACAAGTGTTTGGTCATCAATCACTGGAAGTGTTTCGGTGGTCAACAAGGAAGTTAATATCAAATCTCCTGTGCACTTGAATCTGAACTATTTTTTTTGATAGAATCATCAGTTTAATGACTATACGTGTATGTTTACTGTGATATATCAGAGGACATACTCATCCAGTTTCTGACATTGAGGAAACTCTGTTCATTTGTGAGGTCAAACAAGAGGAGGAAACCCATTGCATCTCTAAAGAAGGCCGTCGTCAAACTCCGAAACCTGACACCATTCAGAAAAGACAAATAAAACACTTCATGAAAAGTGTAATTAATAGTGGAAAAGACACATTTGAAAACAACTTGAAGACAAGACCAGGGCTGAGCAAGGTGAGAAAGCGTTAGCAGAAGTGCTTCATGTACCTCTCCTGTCCCGCAGTGTCCCACAGCTGCATGTGGATCTTCTGTCCTCTACCTGTAGATCCATCTGGACCCGTTGATTTGTATACCTGAGTCAAACAGAGACAAGTGAAGTCAAAGTGACTGGATGTTCTCTGCGCTAAATTTAACCGATCATAAATCTGATATAAACAGTCAACAACATAGTTAATAACAAAAACATAAAATTTCGATCTGGATCGAACGTGTGGTGTGAAGACAGCTTGTTGCTAATGACGGCTCGAAAGAGGGAACTTGTAAAATAGAGTTTAGTTTAGAAAAAACAAAACAAGAATGACTAGACATGCTTGGCAACGTCCATCCAGCTGCTCTATTTAATTAATTAAAAAAAAAAAATCTAAATAGGTCTCTGATGAGAGACACCAAATGCCATCGTTTATTTTTTTATTTTACCCAACTTTAACCAGGTAAGACGCGTTGAGATCAGTGTTCTCTTTTACTAGGGTGACCTGGCCCAGACAGCAGCATAATAAGGTTCCAGAGGAGAAAAATAAGATGTACATATACACATTTAATGATTAAGGTAACTATAAAATAACTATGCATATTCGTATATTTAAGTGTGAGTCATAGTCTTTTTATACACAGTCTATGGTCATAGTGTGTGCAAGCATGCTGTCACTGAACATTTGTTTTTTCGATCTGTATGCCAATAATCAGTAATAATCAAAACATCCACTATCAGCCTTATATCTCTTTTATTCCTCCACAACAATTACATTTTACAATTACTTGTATTTCAGTGGTTTAAAATCTCCTTTCTGATAAACAACTTTATTTGGGCTTATTTCCAAACATTTTTAATCCACACATGAAAAAGCTCTCTCTGATTTGAGTTTATTATAAAAGATTAGCAGCAGCATTAATCAGGTGTTTCGTGGTAAGCTGGACGCTGGCTGCTTGTAGAAATTTTGTAATTGAGGTTTCACAGTCTGGGTAGTAACTTATAAAGTCCTCAGACTTAACTGCCAAGAAGTAATTTATTTCACGGCACTTTTAATTCATTCAGATATTATCCTTTGATCTATTCAACAGTGCGTCATTCTTGGGGGGGGGGGGGGGCAATAAACACTCTTCCGTAGCCAGCAAAGGCAGCTACTGAAACATGTTGAAGCTTAAACATTGTGTTTAAAACACTTAAAAGTAGTTGCTAGCAGCTGTATGCCTCTGACCACTGGACATCTCGTTATACATATACATTGTTTGAGCTGGAGGTCAGCAGCATTAAAGAGTGAATATTGAGTAAATACGAACACTGCTCAGCTGTTTGCTAATGGTATGAAGTGTTTATTCTTAAGGAGGGTGCTGCCTGCCATTCACCAACATTAGTCATTACTTCTGTCGCAACATCCATGATTAGTCTTTTGTCACAAGAGTTACTTAATGGTGTGGGAATGCATGCAAGCCCCTAATTAGAAAGCCATAAATGCTTGTAGCACACATAGACACAAGGAACTGTTACATCAGAAGTGCGGAGCATGAAATCCCTGTGTGCTTTTACTGAAGTAATGAATGAAGGAAAATCCCAACAAATCCAAGGCTGGCTTGAGAAACGTTTTTCTTACCACTCTTTTTTCTCTGAAGTCTATTCCAACTGTAGTGATGAACTTGGAGTTAAACTTGCCATCCGTGTACTGGTAGAGGAAGCTCGTTTTACCCACGCCAGAGTCACCAAGGGCTAGGAACTTGATGAGGTAATCATAGTCCCCATCAGACATAGCGAGTGCTTAATTTCTGAAAACACACAACCAAAACAACTCAAGTCAAACAACAGTCACACTATTTGGCAAAGAAATAAACCTCAAAATGAAACTGTATTTATTCTATTCCCTAACTGACGCAGTGAAGACAGTGAAACTGTAAAGCTAAATATTAGTTTATTTCAATCAATCTGCCATACAGTTGTGCTGCTGTAAATACTCACTCCACACCAAATGTGTACTCATCTGCCCCTGCAAATAGTCCCCAAGAAATGCACTATATATTTGTAGCCAGTTTTTAAAGATTTCAGACAGGGTAAGGAAGGTCGAGAGAGTTAAGGAGGAGACTAAAGTAATGCCGGTTTGGGTCTTTTCATGAGATTTGTTGACAAGAAAAATATACATACACAAATTTTTTCCCCATCCAGGGTTCACGCCCTTTACTAGAAATCTTTTTCCAGGACATTTTCAGTGATGATCTGACTTTCTAAAATCACTGTGGTCCTTAGCCCAAATGCAGTGTAACAGTACAAAAGGTTATTTCTGATGTTACCCTCTGTACGTCCGTTGAATCACTGTCATGATGCCACATTTCATTTAAAAAACAAACTTGGTGTATTGATATGGAAGTGTAATACAGTCAACAAACTGGGACTGCTTCCAAGGTTTGCAAATATCAAAAGTAATGTAACGCATCACAATAGAAAATTGAATCAAACCATATCATCACATCACACCATATGTTAGCCCCTTTACTAACGAAGCTACTTACAACCCACTGTGAGCTACGGCTAAAAAGCTTCATGTCATGTCATGTAGAATTGCATTTGAAGAGACAATGACAGCAAAATAAAACTAAAAAGTTTCTGTCACTTCAACTAATGGCATCCAACCTGTGCTACCGTGTGATGTGACTCGTGTGTTCACAACGCTTCCGCATCTTAACCAAGCAACTCCAACGTAATGCTAAAATAATTTTAAAGGACAACACAAGATTTAAACTTCTCTCATTTATCCATGTGTTTTCCATGACTGGAAAATTGGTCAACGGTTTTCCAGTTTTTCCAGGTTTCCCAGGACGTGTGGGAACCCTGCCATTCATTGTGGGGATGTCTTGAGGGCACTATATAGTCACCACGGTTAACTCAAGGCCCTGCACAAGCTCACACGGTGTTTGACTGGTTATACGTCTAGTCCTGTTTAAGTTGGATGAAGCTAAGCTTGGAATAACCTCCATGCACCAATGACAATGATAACAGGGTGAGTCTTCCTACTTTAACAGGAGAGGGAGGGAGAGTGAGTCAATCCAGTCCAGTACATACCCCCACAGCCGTGAGAGGAGCGCCAATCAGGCAACACTACGGCTGTGTAGATCTCTTCTCTCAAGTTACTGAAGATCATTCAGTCAAAACTTCTTATACTATGTTGAATACACAGTAGGATTGTAGAGCGCAAATGTCGTCTTTCCAGTCCAACTGGTTGATTTAACAGTATGCATTTAACATTTACTTGCAGTACTGGCTCTCATCTTTACATGACTTCCATCCTCACTATGCTGCAGGTCAACTGACAACAGCCATAAAAGCAAATGCTACAGGATATTTGTCTTTACGAGAGGAACATCATGTCCTGCTACAGATGCAAACCTTAAGATTTAACCACACTAATACTCTAAGCCCATTACATTGGTACAACAAGCCAATAACACACACACACACACACACACAGCACAGGGAGATCTTCCCACACTTAATGTAACACAAAAAGTAGTTGCAATAAATGCTGCAACAGTTATTATGTGGAAATAAGTTTGTGTTCGTATTTCGTATAGTCTGAAGTACCAGAGAAAATGTGTCAGTGACAGGATGTAGGCTTAGCATTCATTTTCCACATTTTCCCACACAACTTAAAAGGAATAAATTAAACAGGCTTGGTGCAGACTGTGTAGTTTAACCTTAAGTCACTGCTTGAGTTAGAAATACAGAAAAAATTTTTTACACTTTCCTAATATTATGCAATACCTCCAGATGTAGACTTGTACAGTTGATGGCATTGCAGACTAATGTGTGTAACGTAAGGGCGGTTTCATCTTGCTGACACAGTGACAGGAAGCATTTTAAATTCCTCAGTCTCTCTCCAGCCAAAGTCACAAACCAAAAAAGACTCAACAACACTCAACTCTCTGTCTAGTGTTCACTATAACTATGGAAAGAGAGCTGTTGTAATTTTGCTCTACAGATTAATAGCTTGTTGTACACATTTTGGGTTACAAGTTGATTTTAAAGGACTTTAAAAAGTGTACGGGCACATTTTTCTTACACTTAGACAATGAGAATGAGAACCGCACTATGATACCTACTGGATGAAACATTTTCACTTGCCCAATCCTGGTCAAAACATTTTAAGAAAAAAAGCGGAGTTGCATCATATGACCAGTGTGTAGAAAAGTATTCAGACGAGTCTTACATTCTTACGCTGTAACCCCCAGTAAACCTTTGATCAGGAGCTGTAAGCAGCTTAAGGTCTCGTGCAAAATCAATATCCATGATAAATGCACTATGATAGAAACAGCTGCCACAAGCACTGATAAACGGTGAGTGAAGACCACCGAATCCCAGAACTATGAAGTCCACATTCCTGCTTGTGGGTCTGTTTTGACTCGGGTAGGTTAAAAGTTATAAACAAAGTTTATATTTATACCTTTCAAAAGCCATAGGTGTTTCCATCAGGACTGCTAAAAGAAGCTCAGGTTGGATGGCTGTGTTTTAAATTCCTACCCCACTCTGTTATTAATGAAAGAAAAAGGATGTAGCCATTAGGGAGGCACATACCCGCTATAAAAAGGTTCTTAAGCACTGTAGCCCAGAGCGAGACTGTAAAGATACAGTCTGTCTGCTCTCATCATGATATCCGCGCAAATCAGCTAATTAGCTTAGAAATTACAACTTCCTGCCACATTTGATCTTTCATTAAACAACATTCCTCTTATCTTCTGTTCAAAAAGGCCCACTGATGTGTGTACACGCAGTTGCCAATTTATTAGATATGCATAACTAAAACTAATGCAGTCTGGAACAACATCCAAGAAAGACACTTTTCATTCATCATTTTGGAGGCTGTAGTTTGTGGTGCTGCTGAACTGTATTGCTTTGTACTGAGCCATGTTCCTAAAATTTTGTCCACCTCATTTGCATGGACGACAGCGGAGCTCTGAAATAAACAAACACCTCCTGTTCTGTAGATTGCATTAGTTTGAGCTAGGTGTACCTAATAAACTGGCAATTGCTTGTCACAGGTCACAGCACAGGTGTAATTAATAACATTAAGTATGGCTGCATCACATTTAGGCGAGGGTCCTGGCACTGTGCGTGTTGGCTAATTGGACGATTAATGAAACTGATGCATCGCTCATTAGTAACACATGAACTTCTCCTGCTACGACAAGTCCAAGTGTCTCCTGTGAAAAAAAAGGTGGCCTATTCATACTTTTTAATATAATATACGTCAACAAAAAATGTACACTAAGGAGCCATACAGCGTACTTTTTCTAACTTTGTCACAACTCCTTCTCATTTCAGATTAAACATTGCTTTACCCAAGTTACTGACATTATTGACTACCCCTGGCAGAAAAACTTTATGATTTCTGTGCCAGTGAAAACAGGTCACAGAAATGATGCAGTCAAGCAAAACCACACCGCTGCAGATGCAGTGTGTCAGCAGATTTCTGCAGATTATTATCAGGCTAATCAGACGACACCTCATTGAGCCAATCAAAAACAAGAAATAGCATAATGCTATGATGCAAATATTAAGTGAATGTTTTAATGAAAGTAAAGTAAATGCCTAATACACAAAGCTCTGTAAAAAACTAAAATTTTATGTTCTATTTATTTTTTTCATCTTGATTTTTATTATTATTATTATTATTATTATTATCATCAAGTGTGTTTAATTTTCCATCTTATTTTGCATTAATTATGGCACCCTATCCCTGTTTATGTTCTTTATATGTCTCTTTTCATATGAAGCATGTGAAGTGTTTCTTTATTATAAAGCACTTTGAGCTGCGTTTCTTGTATGAAATATGCTACAGAAATATTTATTGGTCATTTTAGACTTTGCAGTCCTATCAGCTGTAAAAAGGAAGTGAGCTATGATGGCAGAGTATGATCTTCCGCTGTGTTAGGCAAGAAAAAGCTGAGTGCAGTAAACAATCCAAAAAAGAACAAGTCGTATCCTCACTACCACCTTACACAAACCTTCCTGAAACAACAATGACCCTACCTGGCCTACAATTCTGGATGTAGACCTCTCCAACTGAAATGTAATCACACTGCTTTCATGTCAAAGAGGTGGAAAAGAGCTGACATTAAGAACGCATTAAAAGTTGGCAAGAAGACCTCTCTGAGACTTCTTTGCTGTAAATCCTGTGGTTGCATGGTCTGCCAATTACCTTCTTAATATATTCACTTTCCCTAATTGCCTTTTATGCTCTAGAAAAGCAGGCGAGTTCAACTAATTTAGGTTAAGGAGAATTAACACTGGACAGTCTCATGTTTCCCAGAACCTTTTAACAGACAACAAGCGGGGCCCTGTTGTACTACAGGCTTAAGACTCTCAGTGGAAAGCAGCATTTAAATAGCAGTCTAAAACTAAGTGTGACGCTTAACTTAACCAAATTTGTTGGCATCATTAACAACAACAAAAACAATGTCTGGCACCGCACCAACAGAAACATACAACTGATGATTATCCTGACATGTGACAGAATGATGTAGAGGTGTGTATATTATTCTTAATTCATAGAGATGCAACAATATATTAAAGTATTGAGTGTTTCAGACAATATCAGCTTTATCAGCAACTATTTTGCTTTACTGGCAACTAACATATTAGGGTTTTATTTTTAATGGGAGTATGTCACTTAGTACAGCTGTCCTACTGGAAACATTAAATGCAACAATTTAAAATGTTTTCTCCTAATACCAATTCTGATATCTAAACAAAGTTTGTGAGCTGGTACAGTGTAACAATATCACACCTTCTGATCAGAGAAGTAGATCTTAAAAATGCACTTGGCAGCTCGCTGAACTAATGTAACTGATGATATTGATCAAAGAACTGTATTCAATAGGTCCCCCGCAGTGCGTTTTTTGCCCTGTGGCCCCCTAGTGGGTTAATCTGGCCCAGAGTGCGGCCCTATTATAAACTGACTATCACGGCCTTCTTTTAAAAACTTCTTAAAGCAACATTATGTAGGAATTGTAGCTTAACAGCGTCAAAGTCATTTTGATGGTACACTGACTTATGATAGGGAGAATGGCATCTCTGTCATTGCCACTGCGGCCCAGGGTGCATGATGAACGGTATAATGCTTTACAGCACCATGTCACACATCACCAAAACTCTTCAGCAAGCTAGCTATCAGAAGTAGTATATGATGTACAATATAGAAGCTAGCTCGGTGACGCGAGGAAGAGAAAAAGACTGGCGAGAGTTTCGTGAAATGAAAGGCTACAAGATGCCGAGCTGGCTTTCTTTCTCTTGGACGAGTAAGTAATACTGCGATGCGTTGTCACACTTAATGTTTGGCTGTGTTAGCAAAGTTGTCGACCTGCTAGTTTTTGATCATTAGTAATGAAATCATAAAAAATTCTTATGTACCAAATCTTACACAATGTTGCTTTAATTACCTTAGTACAAGAATGCCTGAATACATGAACCCATGTTGTACCAGCTTTTGCACTATGACTTCATGAATAAAATCCATTTCTGTATCGGCTGATATGAGTGTGAGAAACAGTTTTTTCACAGGGAAACAGGACTACACCACGTTTAACAGCTGCATTTCTGTTTAATTCTGACTGTGTGGCATTTTTTTGTTATCTGCCTGTTTGTCTGTAGCTTATACTTATTTCTGCATATTTTGGCCAGGGCCTCTTGAAATAATTCTTTTTTTTATCTCAATGGAGGCATTCCTGTTTAGATAAAGTTTAAATAAAGCACAAGTACCTTAATATATCTTGTTGCAGTGGGAGTTAACCTATTAGCTGTGTTTGCCAGGCAAATACTACCACCCATGCAGACCAGCAAACAAAAAGCAGCTTTAATCATTTGTCAGGGAGAAGTGGAAGACCCACCCTGGGCAGCTGTCCAACAAAGAGGCCCGGCAGCTCCTCTGGAAAATCCGGATATGCACATACCATAAACTTGAAAGGGTGCAGCACAAGTGTAACACTATAATGAAGTGCAAGGATCTCAGAATAAAATCAAGTGATCAGATATGGACAATATGCAGGCTGGTAACTGTCTAGTCATTAAAATAACTTGCAGCAGCAGCAGCACCAGGCAGTGTAAGGCAACTGCAACTGAGACACAAACAAATTAACACTCAAATCGATTAACTGAAACCAATAAACGATCTAATGGCCCTCAGCTGGTCCTCATGTGGCTCTGACTGGTGATCAAATAATCAGATATGGATCCTGCTAAGAACACCACACTGGATGTAAACTTCCCAGCTTCCTCTGTCACAAATATTGCAGCCTAACGTTACATGGGTCCAAACATGGCTGAGCTCTTTGATAAATGTTAATAACTTTAAGTCCTGCTGAGGGAAACCTTGTTTTTTACTTGTAGTAGAAACAGTGGTCTGTAACAATTATTGAGCAAGTGTGGAAAAAGCTAACAACTGTGAGAAGAGGATAAAGCAGGTGTAAAAATGTTTCCCAACGCTAACGGTCTTTGACTACGTGAATTTTAAAAGCAGTTTGTGGACTGCCAAGTTTCGCACTAACGCAAACAATCGAGTTAATTAAAGTTAAAAGAAAACTCTCGCTAACTCCTGACAGATGCTACAGACGCATTTCTTCGGCAGACATTTCCTGGAAACAAACTTAACTAACATACTTACCAGCCCCGGGGCGTTGTTGCTGCACACTGTGTCGTGGTGTTAAAATAGTGGTTAGAAGTGACCGTTGAAGACGTTTCTGAAAGGTGAATAACTGCAGACTTTACTTTCTCCGTCGCATCTGCTCCATTAGTTGACATAAGACCAACTTCATTAACACTGAACACCACCTTCCCTCTCCGGGGTTGTCGTGCTGTTGAGAAACAGCTCCTCCTCACGCCGCTCACGGCTGTTACATTAACTTACTCACAGATAGCTCATGTAGTACTAACGGCTGGTGTTTCCCCTGTAGTTAGCTAAAGGGGAAACAACAGCCGTTACTAAACCCTGACAACCAGAGGGGGGAAGAACATTTAAGCTCCTCAAGTTACTTTACTCGAGTATTTTTATTGCATGCTACTTTATACTTCTACTCCAATACATTTCAGAGGGAAATATTGTACTTTCTAGTTCCCCCCCCACTATTTTTTTTCTGACAGCCACCAGTAACAAACAGGACTAACGTTACATTTCAGTGGTGAAAAGAAACGTTACATTTACTATTTTAGTACAATTTTGAGGTCGTTAATTTACTTGAGTATTTACATTTTCTGGTTCTTTTTATTTCTGACTCCACTACATTTCAGAGGGAAATATTGTACCCATTAAGTAACCAGTAAAAACGAGGATAACAGTTGGGATATTCATTGATCTAAAAAAGCATTTGACACAATAAATCAGGAAATATTAATCAGTAAACTGGAACGAATCGGGATCAGGGGGGTAGTTCTAAACTGTGTAAGTAGTTATCTGAAAGAAAGACAACAATTTGTGAAGATGGGATATTATTCATCTGAATGTCTGGGCATGGCTTGTGGTGTCCCCCAGGGGTCAGTGTTGGGACCAAAGTTATTTTTATTATATATCAATGACATTTGTAAAGTATCTGAAGTATTGAATTTTGTATTATTTGCAGATGATACAAACATATTTGGTTCAGGGGACAGCTTACAGCAACTCTGGGAATCAATCACTTTAGAATTCAAGAAAATAAAAGAATGGTTTGACATAGACAGGTTATCAATAAATTTGAGTAAAACTACATTCATGGTATTTGGAAACTGTAAGTCAAATCATCAAGCACAGATACAGATAGAGGGTGTTAACATAGAACATAGAAAGAGTACATGAAAATAAATTCCTTGGAGTGATCATAGATGACAAGATTTGCTGGAAGCCTCACATAAAACACATCAAAACCAAACTGTCCAGAAGTATTGCAGTCCTAGCAAGAGCTAAGCACATTCTGGATCTTAAATCACTTCACATCCTGTACTGTTCACTATTGTTACCTTATTTGAATTACTGTGTAGAGGTTTGGGGAAGCACTCATCAACATTCACTACAGCCACTAGTCATAATGCAAAAAAGAGCCATGTCGGATTCATACAAATTCATTATTTCTACAATCTAAATTTCTAAAATACCATGATCTAATTGAATATCAAACTGCAGTATTCATGTTCAAACCAAGAAGTAGCCTATTGCCTGGGAATATCCAAAAGATGTTCTCTGAGAGGGAGGGAGGGTACGTTTTTAAGGGGAAGGGGAAATTTTAAGACTAATAGATTTAGAACAACAAGGAAAAGATTGTTTATCAATTTGCGGAGTTAAATTGTGGAACAAACTAAATGAGAACCTAAAGCAATGCCCAAACATATTCCTTTTCAAAAAAATGTACAAAGAAATTATTTTCAGCAGGTATCGAGAAGCACTGTAGTAAAAGTAGGAGTGCTCCTTTGTTTTTAGTTTTTTTGTCTTTTGTTTGTTTTGTTTTTTGGTTTTTTTTTTGTATTTTTTGCTGTTTGAATAAGTACATAATCGAGGTTAGATAAATAAATACTTATCAGTAGTCACTTTAATATTGTGTATATAAAAAAATGTGTGTGCATGTGTATATATGTATGGATGTATGTATGTATATAACAACATAATAAATATAAATATTGTAATTTGAAGGAATGTAAGAATTAAAGGGATAGGAGTATATAAGGTATTACTTCTTCCGATTCCTTTTCGCACATGTGATTGAAGTTTGTTTGCTGCTCATCTGTTATAGTTATCTGAGAGACAGACAACATTTTGTGAAGATGGGAGATTATTCATCTGAATGTCTGGGCATGGCTTGTGGTGTCCCCCAGGGGTCAGCGTTGGGACCAAAGTTATTTTTATATATATCAATGACATTTGTAAAGTACCTTAAGTATTGAATTTTGTATTATTTTCAGATGATAAAAACATATTTGGTTCAGGGGACAGCTTTTTCTCCTATGTTTTTAAACATTGTTTTATTTATTTTTTTATATACTTTCTCTTGAAATAAAGATTTCAATTCAAAAATTCAATTCAATTCAATTCCAAGCAAAAACATGTAAGACAAATGTGAGGTTATTTTTAAAGTACTTCCCACTGTAAGCTTTGGAAATGAATACAGAGATGTATAATGACATGTGACATTTAAAAAATGATAATTTAGGAGGTGAAATTATTAAATATTTTATTTTTGTACATTAATAATCATATGAGAAACTACAAAGATGCATGAATTTATCCATGCTGGCATTGTCTTTGTTTTGGCCTTCAGCAGCCTCGGATCTAGTTCTTCTGGTATTTCCTGGTATTTTCTGGTAAGTATTTCCTGGGAGTGATGAAATACTTCAGTCTGATTCATCCTGTTGCTTTGGCACATCCTGATTTTGCTGTCCTGAGGTCTTCAGCACCGGCTCAAAATACGGTCTGTAGATATAAATACCACCTGCGACTCCAAGCAGTGTGGCGAAGGCCATCTGTGTGAAGGGTATTCTTCTTCTAAACATGACTTATTTTATATGAAATTCCAATTTTGAGACACAAGATGATCCTAAAGAAGAAGAAGAGTAAAGTCGTGTTATCCAAGACACTTTATCTGCTAACTCAGAATTATAATGTACAAATCTTTTTATCCTTTTGCATCTCCTGTGCTCTGTTGAATGTTACATGTTCCTGCAAAACTTTAAGCATAACTTACTGCATGGATGTAACTACCCTATACACAGTGCAAGATAACTGCTGTGTTGCTGGCTGCACTGGACCAACGCTATTGTTTTAATAGTACATCCGGAGTCACCACTGTATTTCACACTTCCCTAAACCAGAGATAAAAACTATTTTTATAAGTAATAGAGTGTGAGGTAGTCCATGTTCTACCACCCTCAGACAAAATTGTGCTTAGTCCAGAAGACAGTCCAAGACTCATGGCACTACAATCCAAGGAGAACTGAAGCTGAGGCTGAAAACTGAACAGTTGCCCATCTCCATATGCTATCTGACATGCATTGTTAAGAGTCTATAGTCTTTATCATATAAGCTAAATATAAAATAATAATAAAAACTTTATTTATTTTATGCATTTAGAACAAAGCCTATGCATTAGGGTAATGGCAGTATTAACTGAAAAAAATACCTAATATTTACAGGTATAATGATTAAGTCATCATCAAACACGTATATTTTGCACTAGGATAGATACTTCAATTAATCAATCAGCATGAACTCAATAGAATCATTAGTCTGCCACAATAATGTGCACTATGGTCAAACAAACTATTGTGCATTACAAAGGTGATTGTTTTCACTGACTGCAAAACTTTTTTCAAATAGAAGTAATTATATTTTAATGAGTCTTATTTTGAAAAATACAGACCGGTTGATACACAAAGCGCCTGCTAGCTTGACCGTTTCCTCACCGTTTATCTGAATACAACGTACACATGACATTTTAAGTTGGTTTAGAGGCGATTCTGTAACATTCATAACTCACCGAGGAAGCAGTTTATTCGAAGTGGAATCACCAAACAGACAGACAGAAAAACACAGAGGCAAAAACACAAGATACGCCAAGTTGACTTGTGTGCAGCATGAAAGCTTTCTTCTTCTTCTTCTTCTTCTTCTTCTCCTCTGAATTCTGGCAGAAGAAGCTACAGTTCGCCACCTAGCGGAGAGTGCAGCTTCCTGCAACTTGAGTTTAAATCATTTAAGTAGTGGTAGAAGGGGCGGCGCGGTGGTGCACTGTCGCCTCACAGCAAGAAGGTCGTGGGTTCGAACCCCGGTTGCCCCGGCCTCTCTGTGTGGAGTTTGCATGTTCTCCCCGTGGGTTCTCTCCGGGTGCTCCGGCTTCCTCCCACCATCCAAAGTCATGCAGATTAGATTAATTGGTGTCTCCAAAATTGTCCTTAGGTGTGGATGTGAGTGTGAGTGGTTGTCTGCCTATGTGTGGCCCTGCAATGGACTGGCGACCTGTCCAGGGTGTACCTGGATAAGCGGTTGACGGTGGATGGATGCATGAAAATGTATGCAAGTATATTTAGGAACATTAGTTAAAGTAGGTCTGTTGGTACTCAATGCAGAAAAATGTTCCCTGTAAATGTTGTTACTTCATTAGTTTATTTTTACTCATGCAGTGATTTAGAAGCAGGATTTTGCTGTTGTAACTAATTTTTTAACTATTTTATATGGGATTGCAACTAATGATATTATTACCATTAAATAATTTTCATTATGGATTAATCTGTTTTATCAATTGATTGTTTGGTTTGTTATATTCTGAAACTAGTGAGAAATGCCATCACAGTAACCCAGATCCCAAAGTGACACCATCACATTGTTTTGTTGATCTAATAGTACAACATTTTAAGTTAATCAACTAATTAAAAGGGAAAGCAGTAAATCCTCACTTTGTGGAGCTGGAAGCATGAAATGACTTTTATGACGATTATCAAAATAGTTGCCAATTAAGATAAAATCACAATTTTTTACAAAGTCACCACTTTGAGATGGTTATTAATAACTAAGCGGTTTTGTGTCAGTAAAAATTAAACATTTTGATATGCTATTTTACTCAAGTCCAAACTCTGACCTTAGCATGCTGTAATTCAAACTCAATTATTTTTTAGTTTCTCATATCATAGTAGTGATGTAATCTGAGTGATGTCTTTTGTATCTATAATTTTTACCGTGAGTAGTTTTATTTTGGTCCTATTTAACATTTCCTTAATTTCTGCTCTGTGAAATGTTCCTTTATACTTACTTTATATTTATCAGATGAAAATTTGCCCAAACGTCTCTGAGGCTCATCGATCGGACTGGACCTTTACTTTGAAGTCGGGAAACAATGGTCCACCGGAAGTAACTCTGAGTGCGGAAGTGCA